TTCTGTTGCTGTTGTGTATTTGATAAATATTGCATTTAATTTAATCTGTGATAGAGTATGCAAACACCGCGTGAGTGTCACTAACGGGAGCAGAAATGTCCGGCTTGACCGCGCTGTTTTCAACTCTGACCCCGACTGCAAGCGGCTACTCTCGTTAATCGCCGTCTATGATTTTTTTTCTTGCCTGGCGGAAATGGGCTTCCATATTAAATAGTATATGTTTCTGTTGAACTTTACTCTTGAACAGATGGCGCTGTATTAAGCAATATATAAAAAGTGTTTCTGTTGCTCACGAAAACTTTTCTGAAACGTCTGTATATTTGACAAATATTGCATTTAATTCACTTCATCTGTGATAGAGTATGCAAACACCATAATTCCGCCTCGACTGCAAGCGGCTACTCTCGCCAGCCGGTGCCTATGGAATAAAATCGCTGTCAAAAATAATCGTACGTAATTCAAAGCATTTGTGTGTCATTTTAATTTACTCGTGCGTAATTTAAAAGTATTGTATGTAATACTCCTCTCTGTCATTAGTGATAACTAACCCTTAAACATGTCCGAATTTGAAAAAGAAAAAAAATCACTTACCTGAGACGATGAGTGAGCGCTTGGCTGCTGATCCGCGATTTTGGCACCAGTGCAGTGGTTTAAAACGGTGGCGTGGCTCAAGCGCACTTTGTGGAATCGATTCATCTTCCCTCGGATAGTAACGCCTGTGACAATGATGACGTATTTTTGACAGTCCTTTCGCACACCGCACTTCGTGTCGCAATTCGCATGTCGTGCGTGTAACAGAGCTGTTGTGAAAACAAGCGTTGTGTCTGTAAACTGTCATAGTCGTACATTTGGGAGTTGTACCAACTGTCATGGCCGTAGATTTTGGAATCCAACTCTGACAAAAAACTAAATTACATACAATACTTTTAAATTACGCACGAGTAAATTAAAATGACACACAAATGCTTTGAATCACGTACGATTATTTTTGACAGCGATTTTATTCCATAGTGCCAAGCTAGTATAGTTAATCTCGAACAAGCCTATTATGTTTATCAGCAGCACAGCACAGCACATGAGTGAGAATAACGTGATATCCTCCTTTAATCTCGTTGGTATCTGTTCCACTTCGAGAGGTCAGAACTGTCCGTCTTGACTGCGCTTATTTCACTCCTCCCCTCACTGCAGCCGCCTATACTCTCACCTACATTTCAGGCCAGGCGAGAGTATAGATACAAACAAGCCTATAGCCTACGGCGTAGGTTCGACGCAGAAATATTAATTGGGTTTAAATCAACCTTTCCGCGCGGCTCCGCTTTAGAATATGCACGACTTCAGGGCGATTATAGTCGCATTAAAACAATGCATAGTGCGACAACGCCCATTATTATATTTTTTCATTATTATAGTTTATTATATATAACTACAAAGATTCATAAATATAAAAACCTGAAAACAAAAAATAATTTAGAATAAAACGTTATGGCCCAGTTCAACCCCATGGATTCCACACAATGCTGCAAATGTGTTTTTTTTTTCCATTGACCAATTGTTACATTTTACATTTGTTTGCCCCTTCTTAGTTTGTATAGAACACTACCATAACAAATATACACAAGTAGGCTACAATGGGGGAAAGCATGTAAAATGCAAAATGTGTATGACATTAGGGGGGAACGTTTTGCTTTTTATTTTCATGGAAATGAAACTCAGGGATGGGCTGACCAGTCATGAAGAATAGCTACTTTCGGTGACTGGCCCTCATTTCTTAACGAAAGCTCCTCACTTAAAGTATAGCCTATACTATAAATAGTATTGCTTTTTACCATGAAAATGCGTATCAACCGTAGTAGCCTATCACAATGTTAGAAGAGAAAGAGAAAGTTTCTCCTGCACGTCTAAACACAAGCACATTCAGTCGTTATCAGCGCGCTCATTCATAAAGACTGAAAGAAAGTAATATTATCCAGTCATTTTACATTCGCCACGAATGTCATTTGTGACTGAGCCTAATATTTACTGGTTTGTGCGACTTTGTGACAAGTTTAAATTAAAAGTTGTTAAAAGACTGGTAATGATCTGTCACTGCTATTGATAAATACAAATGTAAGTCTGATTAAATTCTAAAAATTCAAACAGCATGTTAAAATGGCAATTACCTATTTTACTCCCAGAAATCGCAAAATCTTTCCATTCAGTAGAGGTAGACTCGCGTGATATCTCGTTGATTTTTACCTTAGGCTTGTTGTTTGAGATGAGCAAAATCTGCGCAGAACCGATCACCGCGAGATTAGTTAGAAAAGTGTCCGAGTTAGGTCCGATTTATGGCAAGCCAAGAGGTTCACATTTACGCTTGCTCTGATGTAATGCTGACGTGTGCCAAAAAAAAACTCGGCTGTGTCGGATTGCGCAGTCTGAGCATGTTGCTCTCTCCACCGACTGCGCCGATCAAATGCATGATGGGAATTAAAGTAGTTAAGTAGTTAATACATGTTTGTATTAAAGTAGCAATGGATGATAAAAACTCCTTTCGTATGAGATTAAATAGCAAGCACTTTGAGTGTCCATCATATTTATATTCATATAGAAGCAACAGAACTGAAAGTATATCATGTTTATCAGCAGCACAGCATATGAGTCAGAACTGTCCGTCTTGACTGCGCTTATTTCACTCCGCCCCTCACTGCAGCCTAAGGCTATACTCTCGCCTACATTTCAGGCCAGGCGAGGCGCATCTCAAACAAGCCTATTGATAGTAGGCTACTTGGTATCTGAAAAAAAAGGTAAGTGCATTCCTTCCTCGTTCTTACACGCCCTACACGTCATCCACCCCACGCCCTAATTTAGGAAAAAGGATTGTGAAAGGTGTTCGGAAACTTGCTGCAAAAAACACAGTCAGTGCTACAATATGAATTAAATAACATCTTAAAATGACATAACAGTATAAGATTGCCCACTGGCATAACTATAATTGGTTACATTTATATAGCACTTTTCTGGGTACTCAAAGCGCTTTACATGAAAGGGGGGGTCTCTAACGCCCACCACTCACCATATTGTGCCAGAACGCCCACCACTCACCATATTGCGCCAGAACACCCACCACTCACCATATTGCGCCAGAACGCCCACCACTCACCATATTGCACCAGAACACCCACCACACACCAGCTTGTTGGTGGAGAGGAGACAGGGTGATGAAGCCAATCAGTGTATGGGGATGATTAGGAGGCCATGATGGTCAGAGGCCAATGGGCAAATTTGGCCAGGATGCCGGGGTTACACCCCTAATCTTTTTCGAAGGACATCCTGGGATTTTTAATGACCACAGAGAGTCAGGAGCTTGTTTAACGTCTCATCCAAAGGATGGTGCTTTTTACAGTATAGTGTCCCCGTCACTACACTGGGGAGCTAGGACCCACACAGACCACAGGGTGAGCACCCCCTGCTGGCCTCACTAACACCTCTTCCAGCAGCAACCTAGTTTGGGCTGTGTTTGGGCTGCACGGTGATATGGCTGCTATAATTCAATATCACTTATCATATCAAAATCATGCTCTTATCTGAAAGTGATATAATAATTTCTTTCAAAATATTAACTGTATATTTTGTCAGAAACCAGGTGTGATAGTTTTATAAAGTCAAATGTACAAATTTTACTTCGTTATGAATTAATAATCAAAAGATAATCAGTGTTCATACGCATTTATTTACATTAAAAAAACATGTCTAACATTTAAAGGGTTACTCCGCCCCAAAATGAAAATTTAGTCATTAATCACTTACCCCCATGTCGTTCCAAACCCGTAAAAGCTTCGTTCGTCTTTGGAACACAATTTAAGATATTTTGGATGAAAACCGGGAGGCTTGTGACTGTCCCATTGACTGCCAATTAAATAACACTGTTAAGGTCCAGAAAATTATGAAAGACATCGTCAGAATAGTCCATCTACCATCAGTGGTTCAACCGTAACATTATGAAGTGACAAGAATACTTTTTGTACGCGAAGAAAATAAACACAATGACTTTATTCAACAATTCGTCGTCTCCACGTCTCCATGGGGGTAAGTGATTTAATGACTACATTTTCATTTTGCGGTGGAGTATCCCTTTAACAAATGAGAATAAAAACAAGTCAATGATTTGCAAAATTAAAATTATATTTTTTATGCATATCAGATTAAGCTAAAAGTTATGAATGAGGACATTATTTGATCAGGTAAGTTGTACTTTATTGATTTTTTTAATAAGATTTAAAGGTATTGAATATTAATAGCTGAATATCATGCTTTTGCAGGCTGCAGTCATTATTTGGGGTTGTGTTGTTCTTCTCTCTGTATCCCAGCTTGCAAAACAGTATGGAAATGAGTTTCGTATTTTAACGCACTTGTTATCAAAATAAGTAAGGCATTTAACATTTATGTCACTACTAAAATAAAAAAGCAGTTTACATTCATTGCAGAGAACAAAAAAATATTTATACAAAATCAGTTTACCACTTTAAGTAGTAATGAGTAAGATCAAGTCACTTTCTGTATTAACTGTCGTATTATGATTTGTGTGGTTATGTGTCAGGATTATGGTCTGTCAGTATGTTTGTTTTCCTCCCCACATGCTCCCCATGACCCAGTTTCCCCATGTGTGATTGTTCATATGATTCACCTGTGTCTTGCCAATTATCCCTAGTCTAGTCTTGTATTTAAAGAGTTATCTGTCCCGTGTTCCCTGTCCGGTATTAAATGTACACTGTGTGTGTGTCCGTCCGTGTCCGTGTGTGTCCTGGCTACCCTGTGTGTTCCCAGTGATTTGGATGAATAAAGACTGTTATTTTTGTGACAGTTATGTGGTTTGTGCTTTTGACAATTTCCTTGTATGGAAGCATAGATGATCTATTCCATTCACAAAAGGCTTCATTTATTAATTCACTACATCCAACCACATAAACCCACACATTTATGCCTAATGATCACACACCTGAAATGTAAGTTTGAATTGGTTTCACTCTGAACAGATCCTGATAAATATTAGATTAATTTTGATGGACTAATTACTTGACATTACAACTTAGTCCACTGACCAAAAGAGAGACATGATTTAAATAAATATTGAGCAATGAGGTAAAAATGTCTCTAAAGATAATTGAACTGCATTTGTCACCTGTATCACTACTTGATCTGCATGCCTGCTCTGAAAATTATATATTTGTATTTTTTGCAGCCACGTCATGCATGGTATCAGCTCTTGCATACATAGTTTTGAAAGGCTCTCAGAGTTACAGTATATATCATTATGTAGAGTGATTTAGGTAGTTACAGGTGACAAGTGCAACTCTTTTCCACAGTCCATGCACCGTACCTTTGGCAGAAATGTCTTCTGATTCAGCAGGGCTGAGGAAATGTTATATATAACAATAATAATATACAGTAGTACAACAAAACATGTCAAAACCCTCCCAGAATCTATGTAAAACTACACAGATGCATGATGTAATACTTATTACTGTGAACCTGATTATGCTTCCCAGACCTTTCTTGTCTTAAAACCCACTAATTGCCTTCCCAGAAAAACGTCCAACTGCTAAAGGAAGGGTTGCTGACGTGCCTTAACTGTGACTGTGTCCACAACAGCACTCAAAGACTCAGATCAATGATGATATGCTCAAAGATCTGTGTGCTGCCCTTAAAACTGGAGGCAAACACGAAGTCCCTCCGGTCAGTGGAGACCACAGTGAAGGAACGTGGAGCCTGGATGTAGACTTCCTTGAAACGCTCAAAAACCTTCTCCTCTGCATCCCACAGATAGATCTGCGAGAAGGTGTAGTCGCTTCCCAGAGCCAGGTAGTACCTTTCTTTGAAGGAAAATGGCTGCAGGATCATGGAGCCTCTCGAAGGAAGGGCCTGGACCTCGGAGAACTCCTTGGCAGTCCAATGCAAGACTTTGGAGTCGCCGATGTATCGGGTCATGGCCAGATAAAGATCCTCCTTGATCCAGAAGGCCTTGACAGCGACTACATCTTCCATGTTTGGGATCTCTCCTTGCAAGGCAAACTTCTGAGTGCTCCTGCTCCACTGGTAGATGACCGGTACTTGGGAACGGCTCGCTAGGATAAGATGGGCCTTACTGTCCAAATTCACAAACTCTGCATCGGTATCACGAAACCATTCGTGAAGTGACTGGTAGGAGTAGAAGCCCTTGTCGTTCCACTTGTAGAGAGTAGAAAGTCCAGCCTTCGAGCTGTCGGCGATGATGAAGAACCAGTCGTTGCCGATCTGAAATGCCTCGATGTCATTCGGCTTGGAAATCTTGGAAACCTCAATGTCCTGGAACTTTGTGAACTTGCTTTGGTCTTCATCAAACTTGTAGATGTGGGAACCACCAAAGAGTTGTGCAACGATGACAAACACCTGGTTCTGGATGATCACAGACTTGCAGCCAACTATGGACTGACCTAAAAGAGAACACATGAGATTTATTTGGCCATACGCAATCCTTCATATGATGACTTTACCATGACTCTACCTGTGATGTTGTCGTAACTCCTGAAGTTCATCTCGATGTGGTCCCATTGGAGCACCATGCAGCTCTCTATGTTGGGAGCAGCGATGGCCACGTACACGTCGTTCTTGTGGGAGAACGTGTCCACAGACAAAGACTCAGTAGACACAGAGTGGAGAGGAACGAAATCTGGACAACATATGGTAAAATTGCATCTTAGTAAATTAGTAAGTGTTTTGCATCTCACAAATGATATGCTGCAGAAAAACCCTAAAGAGATACCCAAGGCAAGTATTCTTTGTAAGACATGATGCATGTCAATGAAATATTCCCAAGCTGTAAATGCTCAGATATATGCACCTGTTGGACAAATACATCCCAATCCATTGTCTCTTAAGGCTGGAACACACCAATTCGACTTCAATGTGCTAGTGTGTGCAAAAACCTAAAGTGCTGTCGCCTTGAATCGACTGGACCAAAAAGCTGTGCTTGAACACACCACACAGACTACAGCCAACTGCAAACTAGCATATGCGTCATATTCATCATGTTGAATTGGGTATACTCCTGCCGATGTGAGCTTGACAAGAGCACACACTGCAAAAACTAGACTGACAGAGGCTCTCCGACAGCCGACCATCGGCTTGGTGTGTCCCGGCCTTTTAAGTGGCAATGAAATGGAATTACACTCTTAAAAATAAAGGTTCTCTATTGGCATCAATGGTTCCATGAAGAACTTTTAACATCCATGGAACTTTTTCATTCCACAAAGTGTGCTTTTGTAGTGAAAAAGGGATCTTTAGAATATTAAAATGTTCTTCACACCAAAATATTTTTCTTTTAAGAATTGCTCAATGAAAGATTCTTTGAGGAGCTCAAAAATGGTTCTTCTATGGCATTGTTGCAAAAGCCATTTATTTTTAAGAGTGAATAACAACAGATCCTTTCATCCTTTTAGTTCCATACAGAAAAAAATTATATAGGGCAGGACTTGGTTCTATGCATCGGTTGTTGATTGGAGTTTCAGATGTGGATGTTGCACTCAAAATTGGAGGCAGATGAGTGTGAGCTTGCAGGAGTGAATTTAAGCAGACTAAATGATTGGAGAAGTCCAGCATACGTCACCAGAGAGAAGTCATTTCACTAGAACATCCAGTTATGAAATTACAAGGTCAGTTTAAAAACAATTTTTTTTAAACATATGCACACATTCAATTTTCACAATATGATCTATAACATGCATTTAGAAAACAGATATGTTGAATTAATTTCATGTCGACTTTAAGATTTATTTTTACCAATCTCAATGTACTGGTAAATAGCTATAAATAACAAACACAATGCAATGAACTGAACTGGATTTATAGTATGAAAAAACTGGTAAATACAGTGCCTTGCGGAAGTATTCATACCCCATTCATTTTTTTCACATTTTGTTATGTTGCTGCCTTATGTTTTCTGAACTCTTTCTCAGATGTGTGGCTTGACACAAACCTGTTTCTGAGCTCTACAGGCAGTTCTTTTGACCTCAGGACTTGGCTTTTGCTCTGATATGCATTATCAGCTGTTAGACCTTCGATTAAGACGTGTGTGCCTTTCCAGATCATACCCATTCAATTGAATTTGCCACAGGTTAACTTCACTCGAAGTGTAGTGACATCTACAAGCGATATGTATGTTTCTGAGCTAAATTTCAACTGTCCCAGATAAGGGTATGAATACTTACGCAATGGAATCATTTAAGTTTTTTATTTGTAATTAATTTGCAAAGATGTTAAAAACCTGTTTTTTGCTTTACCATTATGGTGTATGGCAGGGGTGCCCAACCCTGCTCCTGGCGATGGACTGTCCTGCAAAGTTCAGCTCCAACCCTAATCAAACACACCTGAAGCAACTAATTAGGGTCTTCAGGATCACTTAAAAATTAAAGGCAGGTGTCTTTGATTAGAGTTGGAGCTAAACTTTGCAGGACAGTCCATCGCCAGGAGCAGGGTTGGGCATCCCTGGTGTATGGAGTGTAGACTGATGTGGGAAAAAAGTAATTTAAAGTAGTTTAGCATAAGGCAACAACTTAATAAAATGTGAAAAAAAATGAAGGGGTATGAATATTTTCGCAAGGCACTGTAGCTATAAATAACAAACACAATCCACTGAATTGGCTGAAAAATCGTCCAAACACACTACCAAGCATGCACATGCTCATTCACATACCTGTAGAGATGCATTCGTTATGCAAGCTCGCCATGTCATTGAGCCGCTTGCCCTTCATCTCCTCAGGACTGGCGCAGAAGACGTCTGATACAGTGGCGTTTGTGCTCTTCAGCCACATCATCAGCCACTTCGCTCGGCAGTCACACTCAAAGACGTTGCCCCTCAGGTCTCTGCAAGGAAATATATATGAATACATCAATAAGCATTGATCTTATTATATAGTGTACATTTCTGTAGGCTTAAAAAGACATTTTATCATCTCATATTCAATGCACTATACTATAATACAGTTATTGCTAAGTAAGCATTTACAGAAGCTCAGACTCACAGCTCTATCAATGAGTCCAGATCAATGAATAGATCTCTGGGCAAAGCTTTAATGTTGTTGTGTGCCAAAGACCTGTGAGGAATACAGTAACACTTTAGAGTTTAGTACAAATAATTGGCAGATGTCTGTTCATTTAATATGATTAAAAGTAACGTACAGATGAGTCAAATCCCTAAGTCCTCTGAAAGAGTATTTTGATGTTGTTTCAATCTTGTTGTTTTCTATAAACCTAAAGAATGGAGAGAAAATTAAGAGTAGAATGTAAATAAATGATGATGGTCAGTGGACACGAAAAGTATTGAAAGCAACTATTAAAACAATTACTAAGAAACATAAATGCATTAATTTCTATTAAATATGTGTAGAAAACATTTCAATTCAAAAGAACTTCAAACGTGTGCATATCTTCAATATGTAAACATTCAAACCTCACAGCTTTATTTTTCTCTTACATAAAGAGTTTACTTAAAGATGTACCATCCAAGATGTAGATGAGTTTGTTTCTTCATCAGATTTGGAGAAATGTAGCACTGCATCAGTGTCTCAGCAATGGATGCTCTGCAGTGAATGGGTGCCGTCAGAATGAGAGTCCAAACAGCTGATAAACACATCACAATAATCCACAAGTAATCCACACCACTCCAGTCCATCAGTTAATATCTCATGAAGCAAAAACTGTGCTTTTGTAATAAACAAATCCATCATTAAGGTGTTTTAACTTTAAACCGTTGCTTCTGGCAAAAATATGAGTCCATCCATAATCATGACTCTTTTTGCTTGTAAATGGTTCTTGATCTGTGCATATTTCTCTCCTGATTCAGACAGGAGAAAGTAATATTATGAATAGAGGACTCATATTTTAGCTGAAAGTAAGACGTTTGAAGTTAAAAATGTCTTGATGGTTGTGTTACTTACAAACACGTAGCTTTTCTCTTCACAAGACATTAACTGATGGACTGGAGTGCTGTGGATTATTGTGATGTATTTATCAGCTGTTCGGACTCTCCTTCTGACGGCACCCATTCACTGTAGAGCATCCATTGCTGAGCAAGTCATGCAATGCAAATCTCTCTTTTCTCCAAATCCGTTCTCATGAAGAAACAAACTCATCTACATCCCGGATGATCTGAGAGTGGGTACACAAATTTTCATTTTTAGGTGAACTATTTATTTAAAAACCCTTTACTTATTTAAAAGACCTTCATTTCTTTAAACAACAGCACAACATTAGCCATATATCTATAAAATTACACCTTTTTAAAAGAGTAAACGAGCAATTGAAGACGACTTACAGGTACTCCAGGTGCGGAAGGCCAGAAAATGAATCGTCCCGTATTGTAGTGAGAGCATTGGAGTTCAGCAACCTGTCAGAGTTTACAGCCACAATCATTCCCAACAATCACTGTCACTGTAATTATAACAATCAGGCTGTGTGTTTACATTGCAGTGCAATACACACAGATAAAAGTGCCCTGTCACTGTCGACGAGTGCCAGGACAGGCACATATTTCTCTATATCTCTGTCAGTGTATCAAATCACTGACATCCTGCAATACGCCAATGACAGCATGGAAAAGTCACCAGAGTCACTGTGTTCTCAACATCAAAAACCCTCACTATCTGAGGAGTACACTGGATTCCAGTGCTAAATAACGGAGGACAAAACAGGTTTAATTAATTGTTCAATATGCCAATTAAGAGTCCTACTCAAATGGATGCATTATTGTATAGGCCAAAATATTCTCCAATCTAACCTTATTAGACAGCTAATTTAATCCAGAAAGCAGTCTGCTTTTGAGGTTAACCGACTCTACTGTGCAAAATATGACAGTTTTTGGTAGATATTTTGGTAGAATTGGCATAATTTGGTAGGCGTTCTCTTTTTGCAATACCATGCAACGGACTCTCCTTCTGACGGCACCCATTCACTGTAGAGCATCCATTGCTGAGCAAGTCATGCAATGCAAATCTCTCTTTTCTCCAAATCCGTTCTCATGAAGAAACAAACTCATCTACATCCCGGATGATCTGAGAGTGGGTACACAAATTTTCATTTTTAGGTGAACTATTTATTTAAAAACCCTTTACTTATTTAAAAGACCTTCATTTCTTTAAACAACAGCACAACATTAGCCATATATCTATAAAATTACACCTTTTTAAAAGAGTAAACGAGCAATTGAAGACGACTTACAGGTACTCCAGGTGCGGAAGGCCAGAAAATGAATCGTCCCGTATTGTAGTGAGAGCATTGGAGTTCAGCAACCTGTCAGAGTTTACAGCCACAATCATTCCCAACAATCACTGTCACTGTAATTATAACAATCAGGCTGTGTGTTTACATTGCAGTGCAATACACACAGATAAAAGTGCCCTGTCACTGTCGACGAGTGCCAGGACAGGCACATATTTCTCTATATCTCTGTCAGTGTATCAAATCACTGACATCCTGCAATACGCCAATGACAGCATGGAAAAGTCACCAGTCACTGTGTTCTCAACATCAAAAACCCTCACTATCTGTGTGCCCTGACTTATTAAATAGCTAGGGGCTGAGTGAAAGAGGCCTTTCTATTCGTCATCTGTCACCTTCAACTGTTTAGCTGAGGAGTACACTGGATTCCAGTGCTAAATAACGGAGGACAAAACAGGTTTAATTAATTGTTCAATATGCCAATTAAGATTCCTACTCAAATGGATGCATTATTGTATAGGCCAAAATATTCTCCAATCTAACCTTATTAGACAGCTAATTTAATCCAGAAAGCAGTCTGCTTTTGAGGTTAACCGACTCTACTGTGCAAAATATGACAGTTTTTGGTAGATATTTTGGTAGAATTGGCATAATTTGGTAGGCGTTCTCTTTTTGCAATACCATGCAAATTTATCAAAACGCTCTTTAATGTCAATTAAATGTTTTTAATACACAGTTTTTATTTTCAGGTAAAATGGGACAGATAATCAGCAAACAATTTTGGTTTACGGTAAATATGCCCTGACTTTTAAAATAGCTAGAGGGGCGAGTGAAAAAGGCCTGCTTGGGGCCTTGACAGCTAATTTAATCCAGAAAACAGTCTGGTTTTGAGGTTATCCAACACTAGAAGGGTCAGCTGTGCAAAACTGGACAGTTTTTGGTAGAATTGGTAGACTTTGCATAATTTGGTAAGTGGTTTTCTTTTTGCAATACCACGTAAATGTACATTTATCAGTCCCTGTCCCACCTGTGGGACGCTTGGCACTCTTTTTTGTTGCTGTCCTTTTTCTCGATCAAATCTTTTAGTAATCATCATAAATCATATATCATTTGAAAGCTTAGCAAGATTCATCCTGTGAAAACCATTTTGAAATCGGACATTGCGTTACCATGGAAATGGTACTTTAAAATCTTTTGGCGGTCTCCTCCCCCTTAGTGGGCGGTGTCAAGTGTCATATTACAAAATGCATTACGCTCTTTTACAATCAAAACTTGTTATAATCTTGACAAAAAACATATCATTGGAAAGGTCTGAGTCTCAGGATTCCATATTTGGTGGTTATTTTGAGATAGAAGTAATACACATTTGTGACAGAAAAATGCATTAAAAAATTTTATGGCGTTTGGATGGTAGGAACCTCAATTTTTTTCATATCAACTTCAAATTTGGAACATAACTTATTTAGACATAAGGCTTTAATTTTATACCAATTTTAGAGTAAAACCTGAGTAAAATATTTATTATATATCAAATAAAATAAAATTAATATAGTGCATTTTCTTTACAGTCTTTTTAAACTACCATAACTTTTTGATACTTACATTTTTTTTTTTAATTCCACTTCTTCTTTAAAAAGAGACCAAACGTATGTCTGTATTCCAAAGTGTTCATAAATTACAACATTTTAAGTTTGGATAGTGCACCTGCATGCCTATTTTAAAAAATGGGGGGTGACAGTTAAGGGGTTAATAAAAATGATACATTTAGACAGTTTTCAGGTAAAGTGGGACAGATCTTAGCTGTGCAAAACTGGACAGTTTTTGGTAGAATTGGTAGATTTTGCATAATTTGGTAGGTGGTTTTCTTTTTGCAATACCACGTACATGTAAATTTATCAAAACAGCCTTTAACAAAAAAAATGATACATTTAGACAGTTTTCAGGTAAAGTGGGACAGATCTTAGCTGTGCAAAACTGGACAGTTTTTGGTAGAATTGGTAGATTGTGCATAATTTGGTAGGTGGTTTTCTTTTTGCAATACCACGTAAATGTAAATGTATCAAAACAGCCTTTAATTAAAAAAATTATACATTTAGACAGTTTCAGGTAACGTGGGACAGATCTTAGCTGTGCAAAACTGGACAGTTTTTGGTAGAATTGGTAGATTGTGCATAATTTGGTAGGTGGTTTTCTTTTTGCAATACCACGTAAATGCACATTTATCAAAACAGCCTTTAATAAAAAAAAATTATACATTTAGACAGTTTCAGGTAAAGTGGGACAGATCTTCAGCAAAAATATTTTAATTTACAGCAAATACGACTTAAAAAAAAACCCCCAGAGCAATTTTCTTATTTAAAAAATGACAAATTTTCAACAAATGCAAAGTGTACCAGAATCAGTTTCCAAAGTGAGTCAATATCATATCATCATAAACATGTGCTTAGTCAGATGGGCTTGACTTACAGTAACTGTAACGATTGCATGTGTGCAAACATCGCCTCCCTGATCTCAGAGAAGGTCCCATTCACAATACTCCTGCAAAACACCAGTCATATGAGACAAAACGAGACCCTGCTACATACATTACAACAGAAATACAACAGCTATACGACTGATTACGAGCGTGTAACGCTATATTTGCACCTTCAAACACAAGTGTAGCCTACTAAATGATCTAATGCAGAAGCGTATGTGGACTCACAGTGAACTGACATCGTTGGGAATGAATCTGGGGACATACGAAGACCCGACGCAGATAATAGACTCCTTGGAGCAGCTGCACGAGGAAGGACATTTAAAAACCTTTTTCCCCGCATTCCCTGAAGAAGCCAGGCACAAAAGCAGCGCCCATATGATCACGACGCTCTGCATGTTGCATGTGTGAATCCGGAGCAGCTCGAGCTCTTCTGCAGCAGTGAATGCAGCACTGAAGCTCCTGACATCAGCAGTCTCTCTCTCTCTCCTCTCAAGACTTATTTATTTATTAGGACGCCCAGCATCGGTGGATGCTGGTTAAACAGCCTCGAAGACAGATCTGTTAGAGCTACATTTAATTGCAAATGTTCAGTCGGGAATCCTGAAATATGTGCAATCCTTCTGATAAAAATAAGAAAATGTATCTTCCATTTTAGAGAATGGAGAGACTTTTCCTCTTGTTATTTTGTGGTGCATCTTCAAAGTCCACATGAAATCACTTACAGTGCAGTTTTTCTTTCCTGTGTTGATGTATTTTCTGCTGAAACAGGATGTTGGGGCTATGGTTCATTTAAATAAATAAATAAAAGCCAATAACCTTACAGACATAAACAATTTGCTGTATTTCTATTTTGTTATGGTCTAAAAAAATATAGCCAGAAATATAGCTACAAGTACAAATGTAACAGTGAACATTACATTTACAGGGACTGCAAGATCTTTTCAAATTATTTAAAAAAAAAAAAATATATATATATATATTTTTTACTAATGTAACCACTACAACGCTCAAGTCCTATTGTTAAAGCTGCAGTCCGTAACTTTTTTGTGTCCAAAATATATATAATAAGCGAGTACACCATGAATCCATTTTCCAAACTGTGTTTTTGGCTTGTCCTGAATCACTACGGTACACCTATAATAATGCTGCGTTCAAGTCCTCCTGAGACATTCGTACTTACAAGTTGACAAGTCGTAATTACGACGTCAGGTGTGTTCAAGTCAGTTTAGTCGGCACAAGATGGCGGTGTACTTTCTTTTAATAAATTACAAGAAAATACAACAGGGTCTGTTAAATCTGCTTATAGAAAATGCAGAGCAAAGAATTAGCATCAGGTGTGTTTTGCGTTTTTAATATTTAAAAAAAATGATAGAATTTTTTTTACTTGGATTTCATTAACTAGCTGCGTAACAAGAACATGACCAATTTAAGTTTATAGGACAACTAAACTATCAATTAAAAAAAAAAATTACCGTCAACTACAGACGTTGCATCCATCGATTCCGCCATGTTTCTCATTGAAACGCCCGCAACTCGGAAACTCTGGGCTTAAAAGAAAATTTCGAGTTTCCCACTCGTAATAACGACTTTGTGGTTGCGTTCATGTGCATTCAACTCGTAAATACGATCTATCCGACACGACTTGAAAGCACCATCAGTGTTTATATTCGGACTATTTTAGACTGGTTCGGGGTAGGTACCGCTGCGGAGTAGCCCAGCACCTGCGTGATTCGCCATAGACATAAACAGAGAGAAGTAGCTCCGGCTACAATGTTCTTCCGCAAGACGCACGCAGTTCTGTTTATTAACCGCTAGAGTGCCAAAAGTTACGGACTGCAGCTTTAAATGTATTGCCAAAATCTAATTTTGTTCACTCTTCAGAAATATGACACATTAAATCTGCTTTATTGATTATAAAAGATACATTTTGCATTCAGAGAACTTCTGCTGCATCAAGGAAACTGCTACTTTGTTTCATTTTTACAAATTGCTAGTAAATTTCGCAAAGAAATGAAAAGTAACACTTTGAATTAAATATAACATTTTGAAGTAGAGTGACATTTCTTGTAAAACTATTGTAAAATACTCCAGTAATCTGTTTTATTTACATTTTTGAAAAAATAATTTTTACAGTATACAAAGAATCTCGAAATTAATCACTATTAGTTGTTTTAATTAAATTATGATTTAATTAATGTTTATTTATTATTATTAAATAGACATTTTAACTATTAATTATTTAATTTTTATTCATTAGCTTCTATTACTAAAAAATGTGGGGCTTTAGAATATGTTAAAAACAACCTGATCTCATGAAAGTGTGTATAAATAGTACGCCAAATAAAAATGAAAATTCGTGGTATTGATACGCAAAAATTGACTTTTGCGTGTATATGCTATGCGGTGGGTAGGTTTAGGGTTGTGGGGTAGATGCATATCATATGCACGCGAAAACTGCGTATCATATGCACGCCAACAAATTTCGTATCATATGCATGCCAACAAATTTTTTATCATATGCACGCGAAAACTGCGTATCATATGCACGCCAACAAATTTCGTATCATATGCATGCCAACAAATTTTTTATCATATGCACGCGAAAACTGCGTATCATATGCACGCCAACAAATTTCGTATCATATGCATGCCAACAAATTTTTTATCATATGCACGCGAAAACTGCGTATCATATGCACGCCAACAAATTTCGTATCATATGCACGCCAACAAATTTATCATCATCATATGCACGCGAAAACTGCGTATCATATGCACGCCAACAAATTTCGTATCATATGCACGCGAAAACTACGTATCATATGCACGCCAAAGTCCATTTTTGCGTATCAATACCACGAGTTTTCGTTTTTATTTGGCGTACTATTTATACGCATTTTCATGAGACCGGGCCGTTAAAAAAGGTATTTTGTTAACAAAGCCACAAAACTCTTTTTGTGTGCTCTTTTGCAATTTGACGGTCTCGCTGATGTCAAATAGTCAGCATGCTAACATCTATTTAAAACAATGTATTATCTAACCGTAACTGTGTAGAAAACACAAACATGAAAGGAAGTGCTATTGTCAGCAGATTGCTCTATTATTGCTTTCAAAACACTTGAAGTTAAAGTAGGTGGTTAGTCAATGAGGCACGATCCTCAGATACTGATGACTGAGTAAAAACATAAAGAGTAAATCATCTGGAGCTGTCTTTTAGAATTATCTTTTATATTGGAGATAAACAGATTTGCAATGGGTTCTAGAGTTTTAAAGCCAAGTGCAGTTGTTGTTGTTTTTATTAGATGCCCATGTTTTTCATTTGTTTACTCAAAGAGGGCTAGAAACAAACCTGATGAACACAATACCATTTAATATGAATTAATGTAAAAAAAATAAAAATAATTCAGCATGCAAATATGTCAATAACAATATGATTTGTGGGGGGATACATCGGTTGATATTTTTGTTTATTTGTATGTTAGTATACCTAATTCATGTAGGCTAATCTGTGCTGATGCTTTAAGAGCAAAGTCACAAACACTGTGATTGATGATGAGAGGAAATGAATAAGTGCAGCCTAAGAGGTTGGAAAAAGCTGTATCAGCAAAACAGTGAGATAAACAGTAAGAGGAGAGTTTATTATTAAGAGCTAAAGCTTGTTGAACAGATGGATATGGAGCGCAGGAGAGATGTGTGAAGGTAGAGGACTGAGACAGAAGGTTTGCAGAGAACAGCAGAGGCTGATCCCACATAAATCATGCACATTAAATGCATTACAGTGAGGTGTGAGCAAAGCTGATTCAACACCTCTCACGCGAAAACAGAGACTGTGCACCTTCCTCTGCTACGTCACACAACAGATGTTATTAAAAACGCTACACTATTGTGTTACTGAGCTAGCACTTTACACGCTCCTCTGAAAGTGAGCACTGTACAGCTTAAATGTCCATTCTGGAAGAAAAAAAAACACATTAAAGGAATCTATGCTCACCTGAAAGTAGGACAGGAATATATAGGAAATAGTTTGCCGTTTAAAGTTAAATATATGTCCTAAAAAAATAACAAAATGTTTAAGCTATTTTTGAAAAAATACAAAAATGTTTAAAAAAAAAAAAAATCTATGATGTTAGTGTTTGTTTATAAATAAACTAATTAATAAATAAAGGAAAACAATCTAATGGGAGCCTTATGAAGTTTAACTGAAGTTTATCAGCATACTGCATTAATATGATGCTTAATATTTTTATATTAATCTTAAGGGCAGTCATTACTAGAACTAGCTTGTCTCCAAGTTCCTGAGATGTGTCTATTAAAATCAGTATAAATTCAATCGCAGGTACTCATTGCCGGGTTCGGTACATAAAGAGAAATTTTTTTGCAATCAGAGCAAATTAGAAAACATTTTTGGATCCAGAAAAGAAGAAAAAAAAAAAAAATCTTTCATATTCTTTTGATATTGTTTACAACAGAGAATTCCCTCTGCATTGTCTATGCAACTACAATGACTGTGTAAAAAAGCAGCAGCACCAGATGACTTAAAATGACAAAATAATGTATTTATTGTCAGTTAGGGTATACTGTCAAACACGGGTCGCATTTACTGAGCATGGGGAAAATGAATGCATTTGTGGCCATATGTTGATTTATCAACATTCACACACAAGGTTATTGCCACAAGATCAAATTATGAAAAAATGATTCCTATGCATCAAACTCTTTCACCGAGAGCATCAGGGCACGGTTTGGTCGTCCACATCTTCAGCTGGCGATCCTGACTCACTCTTCTCTGCAGGAGCTTCTTTGCTAAGGCTCTTGAGGCATTTATCGAGTCTCTTGATGCACAGTGTTATATCATCTCTGGTTATTCCAATAGCAGAGGCTGCGTTAAGGTACGGGCACGGATAGGCATCTGCGTGCGACATGAAGCCACGAAACGTGTGTCCGCTCACGGTCTGCTCCACACCCAGCGGGACAACCCTGCAGTGAAATATTACACCAATGAACAAGTCTTGTGAAAAAGAAGTGCGCTTAATTGTACTGAATGTGCACTTATAGCATACCTCCAATCTTAAAAGTATATTTTGTTTTAAAGACTACTTGCAGAAAATATAATATTAATGAAATAAAAGGCCACTTAAGTGACTTAGAGAGACTTAAGCATACTTTTAAAAAGTGCACTTTGTAATAATGTAAAAAAAATTTAATCTTTAAAATAATATAGCAGACTTTTGATGAATGCACTGCCAACCCAGTATACAAACCGAATTTAGATGTACTTTATCTAAGGGTATGTCATTTGGACAATAAAAACAATGTTCTCCATTAATTATGCCATTATATAATGTTACCACTACAATGATTAATTTCTAGCCAATGATGGAAAAATTAAACTGGTCCTCTAAAAGGACAAATAGAGTCTCTCTGTTATGCCGATACAGACAGCAGTTATTTTCCAGCGGACAGCAGAAAGAAGGTTTCATTAATATTACAGCAGGTCAACTAGTGTCCAGCAGAAAATATTAAAGGAATAGTTCAGCCAAAAATAAAAATTTGCTGATTTTTTTTTTTTTTAGTATATGATTTTGTTTCTTCATGGGAACAGATTTGGAGAAATGTAGCATTGCATCACTTGATCAGCAATGGATGCTCTGCAGTGAATGGGTGCCGTCAGAATGAGAGTCCAAACAGCTGATAAACACATCACAATAATCCACACCAAAAATCCAAAAGCTGCATATTTGTATTAAACAAATCCATCATTAAGATGTTTAAACTTCAAACCGTTGTTTCTAACTTAAAAGTCCTCTATCTGTAATATTGCTTCCTCCACTAAAAAAAAACTTAATTGATGGACTGGAGTCCATCCAGGCTTTTTATTGATAATATTATTGTGATGTTTTTATCAGCTGTTTGTACTCTCATTCTGACGGCACCCATTCACTGCAGAGGATCCAACTGATGCAATGCTACATTTCTCCAAATCTGTTTTGACAAAGAAACAAACTCATCTACAATTTGGATGACCTGGGGGTACATTGTCAGCAAATATTCATTTTTGGCTGAACTATTCCTGTAAGAGAAGAGAAAATATTGCTTTGGAATGTAACATATTCAACCAGTCATCTAGTATAAAGTATACAGGAAGTAAATTGTAAGATGTTGTGTCGTTTATCTTAAAGGATAACAAGTACATTTCTGTATCACAATTTAAACAAGTTAGGTTAGTTAGCGCGGATAATTATGTATTATATTACAAGAGACATAAAATTAAGTTCAAGTTCAGTTTATTTATAAAGCACATTTAAAAACAGCCACAGGCCGACCAAAGGGCTGTACAAGTTAGAATAAAATAAAAAATTAAGTAGTCTAATAGCAGCAAAACAGTTAAAACAGAACACTCTTATAAGCTAAAAGCAACAGAGAATAAATACGTTTTGAGACAAAGTGGAAGCCGATCTAACAGAGTGGGAGCTTGTTCCATAGTGTCGGGCCGGCTACTTCAAAGGCTCGGTTACTCCTCGATTTTAGCCGGATTTTGGGTATCTGAAGGAGGAGCTTATCTTTGGATCTAAGGCCTCTGGTGGGAGATTAGGGGTGCAGTAGATCGGACAAATAAGAAGGTGCTAAATCATTTAATGATTTAAATACAGGTAATACAATTTTAAACTCAATTCTAAAATTAATCGGAAGCCAGTGAAGAGATCTCAGAAGGGGGGTAGCTTGATCAGATTTCCGCTTTCCCTTCAGGAATCTCGCCGCAGCATTTTGAACGACCTGTAAGCGTGCCGTTTGGGACTTAGATATACCAAAGTACAGGGAATTGCAATAATCCAGGCGAGAGGTAATAAGAGCATGGACAGCAATCTCCAAGGAGCGCTTAGGAAGAATGGATTTGATTTTTGATAGAGAACGAAGAGAGAAAAAGCTGGACCCAATGACCGCACTAATCTGCTTATCAAATTTGAGGCAACTATCTACCATCACACCTAGATTGCTTACTTGGGGAGAGATTAATTGATTTAAAGATTCAAGGTCAAGGTGATTTCTTGGCCTGAATTTTGAGGAGTCAAAAACAATAACTTCTGTTTCGTCTGAGTTCAGAAAAAGAAAATTCTTGGCAAGCCAAGCTTTCACATCTTCGAGACATGCTGTTAGGTTGCCTAGAGAACTCTTATTTTTCCTAGACACAGCATATAGATTTGCATATCATCGGCATAGCAATGAAATGAGACATTATGTTTTCTAAAAATGGAACCCAAAGGGAGAAGACAGAGAGAAAAAAGGACAGGAGCTAAAACAGAGCCTTGAGGCACACCACAGGATAGATTGCGAAGAGAAGAAGAGAAACGTCCTATTTTTACAGAGCAAAGTCTATTGGTTAGAAAAGATTTAAACCAACTTAAAACAGCCCCCCCTCCCCCCAGCCCAATGCAATGCTCCAGCCGAGAGATAAGGATTGCATGATCAACAGTATCAAAAGCAGAGGACAGGTCTAACATTACTAAAATGACAGAGTCCCCTGAATCTGTTGCCATATAAATATTATTAAGAACTCTTACAAGAGCGGTTTCTGTGCTGTGCAGTGATTTAAACCCCGACTGAAACTTCTCAAGAATATGATTGTCAGTCAAGTAGGTAAGTATGTAGTCACTTTTTTGGTTGCCAAATAGTGGAGCAGTGGAGCATGCTACTTGAACACCTGTGTGAACTTGAAGAGACTGAGTTCACATCCACTAGTCGTTTTCTAATTTTTGCTTTTTTGCTTTATTAGAGGTCAACAAATATTGAAATAGAAACAGGCGGCGGAGTGGACAGTAGCTCACCTGGCTCCAGACACCTGTCTGGTGAAGAGCATGGAGCCCAGCTGCGTGACTGCTGCGGTGCTGTGTGTCTGGAGACGGTTCAGAGACATCGCTGGAGAGCACAGGAAAACTCATCAGACTGCTTCTCATACATTTGTATGAATTTAATAGAACATATTCGATTATCATGACAAGACTTCCCTTATGAAAAAGAAATGCATTTTAGCATAAATTTAAAGAGTATTTATCACAGAAATAATACTTAAGTGTGAACTGAATGTAATGTTTTAAGACACTTAATTGCAATTAAATGAAAATGTATTTGTTTAAATTGATATAAAATGCAATTAGCTGAAATTTAAAGTGTTTTTTCACTCACTTAAGTACATCTTTATATGCAATTTCATAATTTTTGGAAATATGGTTAAAGTGTACAGCAAAGTGTACAAGCATTTATGATAAACTAAAACAGTTTAATGGCATTTTGTAATTAAACATTTGTAATGAAGTATCGGACAAATAAGAAGGTGCTAAATCATTTAATGATTTAAATACAGGTAATACCATTTTAAACTCAATTCTAAAATTAATCGGAAGCCAGTGAAGAGATCTCAGAAGGGGGGTAGCTTGATCAGATTTCCGCTTTCCCTTCAGGAATCTCGCCGCAGCATTTTGAACGACCTGTGAGCATGGACAGCAATCTCCAAGGAGCGCTTAGGAAGAATGGATTTGATTTTTGATAGAGAACGAAGAGAGAAAAAGCTGGACCCAATGACCGCACTAATCTGCTTATCAAATTTGAGGCAACTATCTACCATCACACCTAGATTGCTTACGTGGGGAGAGGTTAATTGATTTAAAGATTCAAGGTCAAGGTGATTTCTTGGCCTGAATTTTGAGGAGTCAAAAACAATAACTTCTGTTTCGTCTGAGTTCAGAAAAAGAAAATTCTTGGCAAGCCAAGCTTTCACATCTTCGAGACATGCTGTTAGGTTGCCTAGAGAACTCTTATTTTTCCTAGACACAGCATATAGATTTGCATATCATCGGCATAGCAATGAAATGAGACATTATGTTTTCTAAAAATGGAACCCAAAGGGAGAAGACAGAGAGAAAAAAGGACAGGAGCTAAAACAGAGCCTTGAGGCACACCACAGGATAGATTGCGAAGAGAAGAAGAGAAACGTCCTATTTTTACAGAGCAAAGTCTATTGGTTAGAAAAGATTTAAACCAACTTAAAACAGCCCCCCCTCCCCCCAGCCCAATGCAATGCTCCAGCCGAGAGATAAGGATTGCATGATCAACAGTATCAAAAGCAGAGGACAGGTCTAACATTACTAAAATGACAGAGTCCCCTGAATCTGTTGCCATATAAATATTATTAAGAACTCTTACAAGAGCGGTTTCTGTGCTGTGCAGTGATTTAAACCCCGACTGAAACTTCTCAAGAATATGATTGTCAGTCAAGTAGGTAAGTATGTAGTCACTTTTTTGGTTGCCAAATAGTGGAGCATGTTTCTTCTCTACTTGAACACCTGTGTGAACTTGAAGAGACTGAGTTCACATCCACTAGTCGTTTTCTAATTTTTGCTTTCAAGTTAAATTAGAGGTCAACAAATATTGAAATAGAAACAGGCGGCGGAGTGGACAGTAGCTCACCTGGCTCCAGACACCTGTCTGGTGAAGAGCATGGAGCCCAGCTGCGTGACTGCTGCGGTGCTGTGTGTCTGGAGACGGTTCAGAGACATCGCTGGAGAGCACAGGAAAACTCATCAGACTGCTTCTCATACATTTGTATGAATTTAATAGAACATATTCGATTATCATGACAAGACTTCCCTTATGAAAAAGAAATGCATTTTAGCATAAATTTAAAGAGTATTTATCACAGAAATAATACTTAAGTGTGAACTGAATGTAATGTTTTAAGACACTTAATTGCAATTAAATGAAAATGTATTTGTTTAAATTGATATAAAATGCAATTAGCTGAAATTTAAAGTGTTTTTTCACTCACTTAAGTACATCTTTATATGCAATTTCATAATTTTTGGAAATATGGTTAAAGTGTACAGCAAAGTGTACAAGCATTTATGATAAACTAAAACAGTTTAATGGCATTTTGTAATTAAACATTTGTAATGAAGTTGCATTTTATTACATTTAAAATATTTTAACTTTAAATGTAATAAAACTATAATAAAATTATAATCAAGTACTTTACATGTGATTTAGTATGTTAGTCAACACATCAAATTAAGTGTACTTCTTTAAAACAAAAGATTAAAACAATAATTTAAAATGTACTTCAAAGTGCACTTTTTAAAAGTGTACTTAAGTGTGTTAAGTAACAGTCATGAAAGTGTCTCTTTAAGTCACTTAAGTGGCCTTTTATTTTATTAATGTTGTATTTTCTGAAAGTAGTTTCTAATATATATATACTTTTAAGTTTTAAAGGACACTACAAACGCACATTAAATACAATTAAGTGCACTTCTTTTTTTTACAAGGATGATTGGCTGATGGCACCACAAGAATGCTCATAGTCCCAAGTGGGACAGTTTTTCACACTAAAAATGCAAAAAAAACCTTTAGTATAAAAGATGCATTTTAAATGTTGCTTGCACATGAAAAAAAAAAAATATTCAGTCACAATACATGACCGCGTTTGAACGGTCGTCAATAGAGAAAGATGCTCTGCTTGGCCAGATGGTGTAGTTACAGGATCTGCCAGCAGGGACGAACAGGCTCATGCTCACCAGCCAAACCCTGACCTCTCCGGTGACAGGCAAAAGCTATTTTTAGAAACATTTTTATTTACAGAGAACATTGATTAATGAAATCCTTGTTTGTTTTTTTTAACTGTTATTGAACTCTTGCTCACATGACGTCGCACTACACATGATGCATGACTCCTCACCCAGTGATATTGGATTGTGTGGCGTATGCAGCAGTCTCTCCCCGTGTCTCTCGGCTAGAGCGCTCAGCTCCTGCGCCAGGTGACCATACAGCTCCTGTGGGCCGTACACAACTCCAGTTATAAATAGCTCTCCACGCTACAGCTTTTTTTTTTCTTTTTCTGTGGCACATTCTGTTTTCTGCTAATGTTGCATTTCTGTGTCTGCTGGCCTACAGTAAACCCAGCACCTGCTTCCCTCTCCAGCAAGTCCAGCTTTCTCCGGATGCGATCTGCAGCCTGCTTTCCCATCTGAAGCTTTAGTATAATTGCATCACAGAATGAGCGGTGTTGGCAAAGCTGCATCCACCATTAAGATCAAATACAAATGAACTGTAGGAGGCCCTCAGGTTATGGGCCCCTATTATGATGATGTTAGTAAGACTTCTGAGATCTACAGTATGAAAATACAGAGTGCTTGAAGGTTCATAATATGCATAAGCTCACATTATGCAAATTAAATTCATCCTAGCAACCAAATAGCAACACCCTAGCAACCACCCACAATACTCTAGAATTCTGGCACCAAAGTACAGAAGCAAAAAAACAAAAAAGTAAAAAAACAAAGTATAAATATTGTTTACATGGTGTATAATCACCCTTGTGAAAATGAAGTGCGCTTAACTGTACTGAATGTGCATTTGTAGTGTACGTACATCAAATCATTTTTAAATAAAACATGCAGAAGTGAAATAAATTATATAAATAAAGAGAGACACTTTCATCACTTAAGTACACTTTTCAAAGTTTTACTTTAACATTTAAATACATTTTAAATACTAATAAATGTTGACTAAAATACCAAGTATTGTAATACTAAGTAATACTTTATTATAATTTTAACTGTAGTGTTTTAATCGACATTACAGTTAATATACTTTAAATGTATTAAATTGCAACCGCATTACGATCGTGTAATTACACATATATGTAAATACATGACATACAAGTCTCAGTAAAAAATTACATTAACATATATTTTAGTTTACCATAAATGCTTTTAAGTACATTCAGCAGTACATTAACCATATTTTAAAAACATTAGAAATAATTATAAAAATCACATATAAAGATGTATTTACATGACCAACTTCAGCGGGTCGAAAAAAGCAGTTAATTGCATTTAATAGAAATGTAAACTAGAATGCATTTTCATTAACATGCAATTAAGTGTCTCAAAACATTACATTCAGTTCACACTTAAGTATATTCTCTTAAAATACATTATTTCTCTAGTACTCTTTTTAAAAGTATGCTAAAGTGCACGTCTTTTTCACAATGTTAAAGTCCAGAAATTCATTCTCCTTTGGCCAGAACATGTTAGAAACTGACTCTGCCCACAGAGAACATCTTATCTAGTCAACAAAGAATCTAAATTATTAATAATCCGGATGCATTAGTAGTGAATCAATAAGCTCTGCAAGCGTCTCATCACATGAAGGCTAATGGTGTTTTCCCACATGTACTGGCGTCTCATTGGGTAACACCGAGTAACTTAATTGAAATGCTAAAACACACACACACAATACAAAAAATGTACACTGAAATCATATTTACTTCATTTTTTTTCTATTGTTTTTCTAACTATTGTTTTTATTCTGGAAACTTCTGGAATCACAAAATAAATTGTCATTAATTTAATATTTCAACAGTCCCATTTTTGATGAATAAAAATATTTTTGTTAATATAAAGGCAGCTTTGCCATAATTACATCAGAAATACCAGATGAACTGAAACTGAAAGCAAAATATTAATACAAACTATAAAAGTCTATAAATAATACTAAATTAATAATGGCACCACACAGCCATAATCAGAAGTTAAGAAAAATTTTGAAATGTTTTCACCTTTCTCTCAGCCAAGAGTTTCTTGTAGCCGTTGGCTCCCAGTGTGAGCAGCGTAATGAGGACGTCTAGAGACGGGGACGCAGAAGCTCGACCTGCACAAGACCACATCATCTCAATCCTGTAATGCATTGAAGACACGCTTATCATAGGAAGACTTTATCGCAGTTCATAAAGAGTCGAGTACAAACATAACAGGGATGCATCGGTACCATAACAGTTAGCTGTTAGGTATTGGAAGTTTATGCATGCTTATTTTTTTGCATTTAGATTAGATTTTAATTGCTTAATCTTTAAAAGCACAAATAATTTAATAACAAAACCTCAAAATGAATATTTTTTTTTTAATTGTGCAATATAAGATTGTAGCGGTAATGACTGATGTTGCATGTTTATGCATGCTCATATTTGCATTTAGTAATGGCACCACACAGCCATAATCAGAAGTTAAGAAAAATTTTGAAATGTTTTCACCTTTCTCTCAGCCAAGAGTTTCTTGTAGCCGTTGGCTCCCAGTGTGAGCAGCGTAATGAGGACGTCTAGAGACGGGGACGCAGAAGCTCGACCTGCACAAGACCACATCATCTCAATCCTGTAATGCATTGAAGACACGCTTATCATAGGAAGACTTTATCGCAGTTCATAAAGAGAGTCGAGTACAAACATAACAGGGATGCATCGGTACCATAACAGTTAGCTGTTAGGTATTGGAAGTTTATGCATGCTTATTTTTTTGCATTTAGATTAGATTTTAATTGCTTAATCTTTAAAAGCACAAATAATTTAATAACAAAACCTCAAAATGAATATTTTTTTTTTAATTGTGCAATATAAGATTGTAGCGGTAATGACTGATGTTGCATGTTTATGCATGCTCATATTTGCATTTAGATATGCATCTAATGCTTAATCTTTAAAAGCTCAAATAATTTAATATAGCCTCAAAACGAATATATATTCTTTTGTTTTCATTCTGTACAATATAAGAGTTATCAGTTTTTTAAAGATTGTAGCGGTAATGACTGATGTTGCATGTTTATGCATACTCATATTTGCATTTAGACGCAGAAGCTCGACCTGCACAAGACCACATCATCTCAATCCTGTAATGCATTGAAGACACGCTTATCATAGAGGAAGACTATCGCAGTTCATAAAGAGAGTCGAGTACAAACATAACAGGGATGCATCGGTACCATAACAGTTAGCTGTTAGGTATTAGAAGTTTATGCATGCTTATTTTTTTGCATTTAGATTAGATTTTAATTGCTTAATCTTTAAAAGCACAAATCATTTAATAACAAAACCTCAAAATGAATATATTTTTTTTAATTGTGCAATATAAGATTGTAGCGGTAATGACTGATGTTGCATGTTTATGCATACTCATATTTGCATTTAGATATGCATCTAATGCTTAATCTTTAAAAGCTCAAATAATTTAATATAGCCTCAAAACGAATATATATTCTTTTGTTTTCATTCTGTACAATATAAGAGTTATCAGTTTTTTAAAGATTGTAGCGGTAATGACTGATGTTGCATGTTTATGCATACTCATATTTGCATTTAGATGTGCATCTAATGCTTAATCTTTAAAAGCTCAAATAATCAAATAACAAAACACAATGTAATGTTGTGATGCATACATTCACAACATTTAAAGTAAGTGATTTTAGTTTTTAATATTTAATTTAAAATACCAACAGTATAAAATTTTATCAGCTATAACATGGAAATAATAATCTGCTTATTGCTGTCAGCCTGAATTTTAATACTGTTGCATCCCTGATCGTGATGCATATACTTGGATTTGATCAACTCTGCAGTAAAATCATTTCATAAACAGTATTCACTTTCTGTTTACAAGTAAAAGAGCTGCAAATGAGAATGAGAATGTATTTTAGTAAACTATCATCAGGCATTTTGAGAAGGTGCAGCAGAGCTAAAGTAACAATGGACCAAATAGTAAGTGCGTCCTCCTATCTAACTCTCTCTAGCGAACTCAGAGAATCAATATTAGTAGGAGTGTTTGGGGTTTCCTCTGCAGTGCAGAAAAAGGTGGGAGGGATACAGTATGCAGGAGCACAAACAAAAACACTCCAAAACTCTTCCTAGATCTCTACAGACCACTTATGCAAGAGAAAATGCATGATGGAATATTACTGCATGAGCTGACAAATGCACATCCAGAACAGAAAATATTCAGCATGGTTTACCTTCAGAGATCAAAGCATTCAAGTATTTCTTCAACCTTTAACATGTCTTCAGGAAACCAGGGTAACTTTAGGGTAAAATGGCAAAATTGCAATACAGGGCATCTAGGCTTGCAAACTTTCACCACTCATTTTTTTATACGCCAAGTGAACGTTTTGAATTGTGCCACACAATTCGGCACAAATAATAAAAATAATTACTGTCAACCAGTAAAGATGCAAGGAAAGGATTTAAGAAAAGTTCATATCAAAGCATATTTTAAATATAATGCAACACTACAAATAAAGTGTAATAATACCACTTAATTTAACATTACATTGTTATATCAATGAGACAATAACGAAGAAACAGCACAGAAAACAGCTGAAAAAAGGCGGAATATTTTTTGTATAATTTATTGAATAGGCTTTGTGAGAGAACAATAGGAAAAACTTTGACTCATAATGCCTAGCATTGCATTTTTGCTAAACGTAAGCATGTACACTTTTTTTTTTCCCATTACTAGACAAATAAAATAATTTTATGTCAAATACTAACTTTGTAAATAAATGCATTTCCTCCAAAAGTGATAAGTAGTCATACGGCTGATGCGTTTTTGTGACTTTAGTGAGATGTGGCATGCAATTTTTTCCCCCAGCAAAGATGTTGTGTAAATTTCATAATGTTAGCTACTGTTAAGTGCCGTTTTTATCCACATTTATTGAAAATTAAGAATTATTCAAGTACTTTATACAAACGTTGCAGTTGATAGTTAAAGGGACTGCAGTATTTTAGTATTGTTTTTCAGACTCTACAATTGCAAATTCAACTAAACGCATACAGGTTTCAGAAATAAGTTTTGTATAAATCCCTCATCCATAACATGTTTGCAGTTTAAAGAGCATAAGCATACCTGGATACATCTTACTGATCTCCTTAATGAAGTTCTCATCAAAGCCTGCGATGATGGCACCGCCGACCGGGACCATGAAGTTTTTATCAAGACTCTGGACAAAGGCATCGATTCTCCCAACGCGAGCCCCCTACAAAAACACTTCATAAGCCAATAGGGTTTCTCTGAAATGAAGTACATTTAGTAGTAAATGTACACAAAAAAAGATGAAATGTTACCTGCTGAATAAGGTGCATGCATTTGGATGACTGCATTCCATAAGCGTTATTGACTATATGGGGAATATCATGTTTTGCGCACAGAACAGCAAGTTCCTCGAGCCTGTGAAATAAATAGACTTTAAATAAATGTAATTAAACTACAAAATAAATAAATAAATACATTTAATAAAATAAAAACAGAAAAATATAATATGCGAGTAAATAATGACTGAATTTTTTATTTTAATTAAATAATTTTATGCTTTACCTATACATGCTTACAGAAACTTATCCTGGCCAAATATTTATAGTAAAGAAACGATGTATTTTTCCTCGGTGGTTTTGACCTGCCTGTCAGGGACTCGCGGAGCAAAACAGGAAGTGGTGGAATGGATACACAGGAAGTTCTCAGCTCCCAGCTCCTCGATCTTCCTCTCCACTTCCTCCAGGTTTGTCCTCAGCTCGTCTCCTTCCAGCACATTCTCTATCACCACAGGCTCAAAGCCTTTCAAAAGATGAAAAACACGTAAGATTCTCTATTAAACTTCTTTTCTACACTAATGAAGGTCAACTACTACATATGTGTTTTTATGACTTTTCTTACTAGCAGTAGTAACTACACAAACTATTTCTGAAGCTGTCCCTCAGTGGATCTTACCAGCCGTCAGCATGGATTTGAAACAGGACTTCTGGTCGATGCGAGGCCAGAGGATGAAACGCGCTCCTGGCCTCCTGTGTCTCAGCGTGAGGAAGCACAGCGTCAGACTCATTCCTGTGGCCATCGGGACCACGAAGCACGAGGACACGCTCCTAACACCTGTGAAAACACACGCAGACGTGCACGGATCAGCATTACTATCGCTAACTGGAACTAAAACCATAAATAAAATGAAAAAAATAAAATACAAAATCATTATTAAAGATACTTACATATTAATACAAATAACTAAAACTGTTAAAATAGTTAAATAATTATTAAAACGATCTGTAAATAAATTATATTATGTAATTAAAAAAACAAAAAATTATTAGTGCTTTCAAAATTAGCGTGTTAACGCAGGTGATTAATTTGTCCATTTTGACGGCATAAAAAATATTTAAAGGGGTCATCGGATGCCCGTTTTCCACAAGTTGATATGATTCTTTAAGGGGCGGTCACAGTAGACTTTGAACGTGCACAAATTTTTCGGACGCCACTACGAATATGGGCGGGAGCAGGATATGACATCACAACATGGATTCCGATGTGCTTATACTGTCTTTAGCGACGGCGTCGAAAGCGTCTGAAAAGGAGAAGGCTGTGGGTTCACCCTATTCTACGGACTCGGAATGAGTGGGGAGAGTTCCATTCTTTAATTCAGGAGCTTCGGCTGGATGAGGATCGCCACAAGAATTACTTTTGGCTCTGTCATATTTTATTACCATTTTTTTAACTATAATGAATAAAGTGCATTAATGAATGAAATGTTCAAGGTGTCTGAATAAATTTTGGTTTGACTGTACATACACATATATATATATATATATATATATATAAAATTTTTAAGTGCTGTGCTTTAAGTGCTGTAGGGTTTTCCCTTTAAATAGGTCATTTTATAAGTTCTTGAAGTGTGCAAAATTAATTTTAAAATTATTCTGAAAATATAAATATAAAATAACGAACAACATTAAGTAATTTCATAATAATACACTTGTGTATAGTAATTATATTGTACTCTCTCTCTCTCTTCCTGTTTCCATTGACACCGCGAACCATGCAGCTTTTTTTTTTTTTTGATTTTTATAATCTTTTAAAGATGTATTATATAAAATAGGACGCTGCACTACGGTTAAAATTAGCGCTTCCTCCACTTTTGAATTTCTGTAGAGTGGTCACGCAGTGACGTATTGATCTTCTACTGGTCACACGTCTTCACGTGATGCGAATTTGCAGGTCAGAGTTCACCAGACTTGAATTTTGGAACGCAGCGAAATGCGAAATTTTTCGCATGAGCTTGCGTTTCCGGTCTTACGCATTCGCATGCATATGAATGGAAGTCAATGGAACGAAAAGTGCAGTGTGACCGCCCCTTTAGGTTCTTAATGAAAAGTCTGTAACATAGTTTGGTTAAAATCTATCAATGGTAGTGTAAAAACACCTTTTTTTACCATCAAAAACAGCTCTTTTCAGATCAAGCCGTTTTTGTAGCATTTTCTTTAAATGTTAATGAGCTCTGCTGACCCCACCCCTCTCTTCCGAGCTGCTCTCAGAGAGAGGGATCACGAATGATTCGTGCGAACATAGATGCATTCATGTAGATCGGGGGCACATTCCCTTCAGAAACAATGTAATCCACTGCGAGTTCAGCGGCTCAGATGTCGGGAGTAAATGATGACTGCTATGTTCATTATTACATCCAACAACAGAACACCTCAATCGCTTGGGAAGGAGTCATTCTTCTCTACATCTGCTTCAGCGGTGAAACAATGGCGGACTGATGATAGCTCACTCAGGGCGGGTCTAAGGTAAGACACCAGTCCAGTCTGTTCACTCAGGGTGGAGCTAAGGTAAGACACCAGTCCAGTCTGTGCTGAAACGCTACTGTCAATCAAACTATCGTGGGAGGGGCCTGTCTGTGTGACGTCACACAGACAGGCATCTGAGATCGGCTCGATTTGAGAAAGGGGAAAACATTTAACCAAATTAAAAAAAAAAACACTGGGTGTATTTTTATCATTATAGGGTGGTTGTGTACACACTGCCAACACACATTTCAGTTCAAACAACTTGTAAAAGTGCATGTAGCATCCTATGACCCCTTTAACTCTGTTAATGCAGGGGCGGAGCTAGGATTGGCCACGCCACTCACAACTGCTGCTTCCGTCTCTTTTTTCTTGACAAGAATTGCGTTTATTTACATCAGTATTATTGGTATCAGTGATACTCGCCTTCAGTCGAACAAACATTAAAAATATACTGTCTTGATGCTGTTTCTACATTAATGTGAAGATTGAGTGTGAAATTATTGCAACATAAAAGTATATTTAAAAACTTTGTTAGGTGGGATTAATCGTGATTGATTTCAGAAAAAACGTGCGATTAATTAGTAAATTTTTTTTCAATCGATTGACGGCACTAAAATTAATAAGTACTTCACAGAAATTTTAAAAAATACAAAAGCACATCATAAAATGACAAACTTTAACATTAAAGTGAAAACAGAAAAATAAAATCGAAATTAATATTTAATAAAAAACTAAAAATGATACTAAAACAACACTAGCACAAATGCATTGAATTATAAGAGAAGAATTGCTGTTTGTTCTGCTTAGTGATATTTCCCATTGTCAAGCGTGTCGGTTCATAAAACATAACGGAGAGTACCTGTAAATCTGAGCACGTCCAGCATGACTGAATTAGTGATTTTATTCAGGAGGCTTGAACCGGCAGCTTTGGGCTGAACAGCAGCAATGTCCCCCGAGCGGCCGATGCCGTGGATCAGTCTGAGAGGAACAACAACACAGCCTTATATTACAGGCAGGTTATAGTAGAAAATTCTGTTAATGTTTTCCACCAAATATGTGACACTGGAGCACAAAACCAGTCTTAAAGTGATACTCCACCCCAAAAATGAAAATGTTGTCATTAATCACTTACCCCCATGTCGTTCCAAACCCGTAAAAGCTTTGTTCGTCTTCGGAACACAATTTAAGATATTTTGGATGAAAACCGGAAGGTTTATGACTGTCCCATTGACTGCCAAGTAACTTACACCGTCAAGGTCCAGAAAAATAAGAAAGACACCTTCAAAATAGTCAATCTGCCATCAGTGGTTCAACCGTAACATTATGAAGCAACGAGAATACTTTTTGTACGCGAAGAAAACAAAAATAACGCCACGCCACAAGGATACGCCGCTTTCTTTCAAATCACAGCGTAAATACACGTAGTAAACGTATCCGTGTGGCGCGGCTGACACAGAAGAGCGTACGCTGCTTGCGTTCAGCTCATATTCTCCAAAATGGTGCTACGGTGATGCGGAGAGACACAGAGGAGACGAATTGTTGAATAAAGTCGTTATTTTTGTTTTCTTTACGTACAAAAAGTATTCTCGTCGCTTCATAACGTTACGGTTGAACCACTGATGACAGATGGACTATTCTGACGATGTCTTTCATATTTTTCTGGCAGTCAATGGGACAGTCACAAGCATCCCGGTTTTCATCCAAAATATCTTAAATCGGGTTCCGAAGACGAACGATTGGAACGTCACAGGGGTAAGTGATTAATGACAAAAGTTTCAAGTTTCAAAGTTTCAAGTCGCTGGGGTATATTTGTAGCAATAGCCAACAATACACTGTATGGGTCAAAATTATCCATTTTTCTTTTATGCCAAAAATCATTAGGATATTAAGTAAAGATCATGTTCCATGAAGATATATTCTAAATGTCCTACTGTAAATATATCAAAACTTAATTTTTGATTAGTAATATGCATTGCTAAGAACTTCATTTGGACAACTTTACTCAGATCTCAATTTCGAAAAATTGACATTTAAGACTGGTTTTGTGGTCCAGGGTCACGTATGAGTTTCTTGAATGTTGAGATGTAGAAAACCCACCTGTAATGTCTCCTGGCCACCAGGCCTGAGGCGACCCGGCCCTCTCGCTCGCCCACACCACAGTTCCCCAAGAAGTTATTACTGTCCATGACTGCCAGCTCGTTCAGAAAGAGCTCGACGGTGCTCTCACTCCACCCCTCCTCTGGACATTTGCCCTGCAAGAAACCAGAAGCCTGACGGTCACAAGTACCCCTTTATGTGGCCAATGCCATAAAGAAAAAATATTTTCAAATTGTAGTTTAAAACTCACCTGCAGCTCACGCTGATTTCATGTGGTACGAGTGTGTATTTATATTAGAGCCCGACCGATATGGTTTTTTTGGTGGCCGATGCCAATACCGATATTAGGGAGTAAAAAAAGACAGATACCGATATATCGGCTGATATTCTTTATGTGTAGGCTATATTATAGTACAGTATAGTCAAAAGTTTGGACACATGAATGGGTACAGCTCTGCTGGACAAACTAAGTAATTATACCATTCAGAAGTATTTAATCTGCGCTATATGTTCTGTAAAAAAAAAAAAATTCATATCGGCGGCATATTCGCCGATACCGATATATAGGCATCAGGGTCATATCGGCCGATAATATCGGCTAAACGATATATCAGTCGGGCTCTAATTTATATATACAATAATATACACAGAACACACACATATTACGTAAACAAAAACTTTTATTTTGGATGCGATTAATCGTTTGACAGCACTATAAAGTTCACGTTTGTCACGAGGATTGACACCTTTTCTGAATATTGCTCACTAGACGACTTCACACAAAAGTGTTTCAGATATTACTGAAGTTTATGAAATGAGCTTCATGGCATTGAGCCAGGCTACAATCAGACGAGCACATGTGATTAACACAGACGTTAATTAATGACTTACCTGCTGCAGAAGCAGTCTGATGAGCTGCTCGTGAGCACGCCGAGCCTGCAGGCCCTGCTGCACATAAGAGGAGGACACCAGCCTCTCGCTCAGGCTGAAGATCTCGCTGTTCATCAGGCTTCTCTCTGCTTATATATCGGCCGATATTCTTTATGTGTAGGCTATATTATAGTACAGTATAGTCAAAAGTTTGGACACATGAATGGGTACAGCTCTGCTGGACAAACTAAGTAATTATACCATTCAGAAGTATTTAATCTGCGCTATATGTTCTGTAAAAAAAAAAAAATTCATATCGGCGGCATATTCGCCGATACCGATATATAGGCATCAGGGTCATATCGGCCGATAATATCGGCTAAACGATATATCAGTCGGGCTCTAATTTATATATACAATAATATACACAGAACACACACATATTACGTAAACAAAAACTTTTATTTTGGATGCGATTAATCGTTTGACAGCACTATAAAGTTCACGTTTGTCACGAGGATTGACACCTTTTCTGAATATTGCTCACTAGACGACTTCACACAAAAGTGTTTCAGATATTACTGAAGTTTATGAAATGAGCTTCATGGCATTGAGCCAGGCTACAATCAGACGAGCACATGTGATTAACACAGACGTTAATTAATGACTTACCTGCTGCAGAAGCAGTCTGATGAGCTGCTCGTGAGCACGCCGAGCCTGCAGGCCCTGCTGCACATAAGAGGAGGACACCAGCCTCTCGCTCAGGCTGAAGATCTCGCTGTTCATCAGGCTTCTCTCTGCTTATATCTGTGATGAGTGAAGTGTCTGCTGCTCCACACCGCTGTACGTCTGTCTAAACAGTGGCTTCACTGATGTGACTGTTGCGCTACGGAGAAGCAGACGAGAGGTTAAACCTTTTCTAACATCTCTGAGTCAGCATGGGTTTCAAGCTTCTAACGCTACTGTTTACTTCCGGGTTTAGACTCCTCCTTTTGTTCGCGTCTTAATTTCAAAGTAAAAGTCCCCGATCTACGCGCACCTGTGTACGGTTGCAATGCATAGGAATAACGTTAAATAATAATTATAATAATGTTTAAATTTTATTATTATTCTCAAAACGTGCAAATTCATCTATATCATCTGCATTTTACATGGCATAAGGGTGAGTACATTTTTAGCTATTTTTTTTATTTTTTTATTTCTATTCCTTTTAATAGCAATTTTGATAATTATCCCTTACAAAAATTAACCATGGTTTTATTGTAGTAACCATGTTTTTTGGCGCATTGATTACTATTTGTATAACCACAGTTTTACTACAAAAACATGGTAAAACGATGGTTGGTGTAGCGAGACCATTCTTTAATTATTTAATTATAGTAACCATGGTTTTATTTGGAGTAAAACCATGTTTAATTTTCATAAGGGTTGAAGTAATCGGAAAAAATTCCCAAACCGAACCAAAACCACAACGGAAGGTCAATAGGTCTCTTAAAATATTATATAATAGATTTTTTATATATATATACATAACCGGAAAAAAGTCCGGTTGTAAAATGTCATGTGATCTTGATGAATATCATGAATGATTATGAATTAATAATTCACGGTATTTATGTACATATCATAAACATTAGCTGCTACTAGCATGGCACAGAGATGTATAATGTTGCACATAAAGAAACACAGATGAAATTAACATTTATTTGTAATTCCACAAAAACTACAGATGTGAGTGTTTTTCTTAAAATAAAGCTCAGTCAGTCTGACTGCTGAAGTATAAGAGCGAGCCTTGAAATGTTTCCTAAAGATTGCTGACTTGAGGATTTCACAGAGTATATTATTAAAGTACAATGCATTTGCACTGGAATGATGAACTAAAACCCTTCATCTCACATTTTGCTTAAATCGGCAAACGCACACCTGACTGCAAGCACCTCGTCTTTGCATTGCACAGCCAAGGAGTGAAATCGACTTCAGATTTGTTTTCAGTCCCTTTGCACAGTAATGCAAATACAGACGCATGAGAAATAAAAACTGGAATGAGACGTGCACAGGCTGGTTTCAAGAGACTCTATGCAAAATATGTGAAAATACAGGCACTTTCAAATGTGTACCATGCCATTCATATCCGACAGCTGTTCAAGGGATATATCTGATGCAATATTTGTTTTAAACTACATTTTCTTCAGCATTTCAGTCTGAAGGTAATGCATAACCATCGCAAAAAATAAAAAAAACAGTGATGAAACGGAATCATTGGGGCATCTTAAAAAAAATTAAACAAATCATAAAGTTTATACTATTATAATGAACAAAAACGCAGCATGCATAACCTGTAAGGAACTTGTGTCAAAGTTTAGTGTAAGTACAGTAATTAATAAGATGAATAACCATGACGAAGATGCTGAGGTAGGATTAGAGAAAGTTAAACTTGTTATTCAAGCTTTCAATCCCACAGAACGTCCACCAGCCATCATCTACAGCAAACATTACAGTACATTTATAACTAAACAACACATCAGCTGGTTCTTAAAGAGAAGCTAAAACACTGACGGGACAAAACAAGCATCCAGCGGGTGCACGATATGTGCGTTTCGAGGGGATCGTCCTGAAGACCTGGTGTGGTTTCAGTTTTCGGACATCTTGCGGATCATGTAGTTGAGGATGCCGCCGTGATGGAAGTACGTGAGCTCCACGTCTGTGTCAAACCTCATCTTAGCCTGAAAGCTTTTCCCTGTGTCCAGCTGCCGAGAGGAAAGAAATACGAAATATGGAATATAAAGAAAAATTTAATGTTTAAGGCAGTGTTTCTTATATAGTAAACTTTCATTTCTATTGAAAGTTATATGTCATGTATTTAAATGTGACCCTGGAGCACAAAAGCAGTGTTAAGTCGCTGGGGGATATTTGTAGCAATAGCCAACAATACACTGTATGGGTCAAAATTATAGATTTTTCTTTCATGCCAAAAATCATTAGGATATTAAGTAAAGATCATGTTCCATGAAGATATTTTGTACATTTCCTACCGTAAATATATCAAAACTTAATGTTTGATTAGTAATATGCATTGCTAAGAACTTCATTTGGACAACTTTAAAGATGATTTTCTCAATATTTAGTTTTTTTTGCACCCTCAGATTCCAGATTTTCAAATAGTTGCATCTCGGCCAAATATCATCCTATCCTAACATAACCATACATCAACGGGAAGCGTATTTATTAATGATGTACAAATCTCAATTTTGAAAAATTGACCTTTATGACTGGTTTTGTGGTCCAGGGTCACAGATAGATTTGTAATTACACAAATTAACTTTAAATGTAATATGAAAAGTATAAAAATATTCAAGTGTTATTTCAGTATTATTTATATAGTAGTTTTTTTATTCATATTTAGAATATTAATGAAATATACTTTAATGTAATTTCTATTGAAAATTGTATGTCATGTATTTAGATATATTTGTAATTACACATTTGCGAGTTATATTAACTTTAAATGTAATATAAATAATGGAAATATTTAAGACCGGGTTATTTTAGTATTATTTATATAGTATCGTATTTTATTAATATTTTTACTTTAATTTTAGATTAAGGTTTAGTAATTTTATGTGCTTTTGTCATTTTTATTTTTTAAATATATCTATATAGTAGTTTTAGTACTTTAACTGATTTTATATATTTTTTTATTTCACTTTCTTAATTTCTAATTTTATGTTTTTAAACTGAAGTTTTTTCATCTAATATTAGTAGTGCTGTCAAACGATTAATCGTGATTAAATCGCATACAAAATACAAGTTTTTGTTTGCATAATATATGTGTGTGTGCTGTGTATATTAATTATGTATATACAAATACACACACATACACTATATATTTTGAAAATATTTACGTCTATATTTATATTCATATAAATTATATTATAAATAAATATATTTAATATATAAACATAACATCTTTCTGAAATATGCATGTGTGTGTATTTATATATGCATAATAAATATACACAGTACACACACATATATTATGCAAACAAAAACTTTTATTTTGGATGCGATTAATCGTTCGACAGCACTACTAATATTTATATTTGATTTCAGATTTATTTAAATAAATAAAACTTTTTATATAGTTTTAATTTTAGTTAAAAATAACAATTATTTAGGAAATTGGTTCTTTATCGGGCCTGCGTTTCTGGGAAAAGTACATTTAAATATTAAAATATTAAAAATTAAAAAATAAAATGAAATGAAATACAACCCCACATGTCCCACTGTTTGCTACGATGATAACATCTGCTGTTATATGTTATATATTATGCGTGTATGTCCATAATTCACTGTTGGTTTTGTTTGTTGTTGCACTGTAGGACGAGGAACTAAGAAAAAACATTTACGTCACATGTATGTAATATGCATGTGATAGATAAAGATTCTTAAACATTTTTGCTACAAAATGTTAATAGTGCATGTTGGTGGCCTGATGCAGTTCTCTGTAATATGAATGCGTGTTAGGTTTTTATTTATTGTTGTACTGAGTGGCCACTTGATGTAAAATGTTCCCTGAAGAGATTGAAGTCTCGGTTAGCGGTAGAAATCATGCGCTCTACCTTGATGTCGACAGTCATTCTGGGTGTGATCTGTGGAGGAATGATCACAGTGTACCGCTCGCGGCCGCTGAGCCCCAGGCTTTCAGCGCTGTCACCCGGCAGATACTCCAGAGGGATGACGCCCATCCCAACCAGATTACTGCGATGAATGCGCTCGTAACTCTCCGCTAGAACAGCTTTGATGCCCTGAGGGAGAAAACCAACATCAGCAGCAGCACACTGTCATATATCCAGAAACCGCTGCTGTTTGCTAACCACGAAAGTGTAAAGAAGTGCGCTTTAGTATAATTTATAAAAAAATAAAAAAAAATTTAAAAGTACTTTTTACAATATTAATATATTTTGTGAACTTAAGTGTGAACTTAACGTAATGTTTTCAGACACTCAAATGCATGTTAATTGCAATTAAATAAAAATGTTTTATAGTTTAAAATTTTATTACATGCAACTAGCTGAACTTTAAGGTCCTTGCACACTGAGTCCGAATATTTAGTATGCATTTTTTTGCTTTTTTTTTCCGTATTCGTTATCCTTTCCTATCAAAATGCTTGCTACGGATGCGAAAACGCAGAAAGTCGAACATCGTCCAAATTTTTTTATGACGGACAAAAGTTTCAGAGGCAGTGTGTACACGTGATTGACACAACATGGTTGTATTTATTTTTTAACGTGCCAACATTTCAGACTCCGTGTGTAATGGCCTTAAGAGCGCTTTTTAACACACTTAAGTAGGACTTAAGTACATCTTTATAAGTAATTTCATAATTACTTCAATTGTCTATAAAATATGGTTGAAGTACTGCTGAACGTACTGACAAGCATTTATGATAAACTAAAATACACTTTAATGTCACTTATATTGAAACTTGTCACGTATTTAAATATATTCGTAATTATACATTTGTAAGTTATATTAACTTTAAATGTAACAACGTAAGTACTTTACACGTGCTTTAGTGTGTTGTCAACACATCAAAATAAGTGCACTTATTCAAAGCACAACAAAAGATTATTAAAACATCATGATTTTACAATTAAACTTTTAATTTGACATGATTACTAACTGCACTTTTATGTACTCAAGTGTGTTAAGAAAGTGTCTTAAGTTGCCTTTTATTTCATTTAAGTTACATTACGGCAGTACAGTATTTAAAATATATACTTTTAATATCTGAAGTACACTAAGTGTACATTTAATACACTTAAGCACACTTCTTTTTCACAAGGGACATCACATGCAGACAGGATTGAAAGAGACTAGGATTGCCATGTATGAAACTATAAGGACAAAATATGTACTGGAAGCTTGTTTTTCTCCCATACATGTAGCTTCCAGACAGAAATTGATCATCTTGTCCAAG